TGGGTTTGATATCATTTATTGTCATTGGTCAAACTCATTTACAGTAGATGTGATTGAATAAGACCTAATGAAGGTCAGATGAATAACCCTGAACGGTTTTACCGACCAAAACATAAAAGATCAATCATTAGTTCAGTTTGCTGAAAATCCATTTAGAAATCATCATAAATAACAAATTTAGTGCCTCGGTAGATAAAATATTTTATCCTGTAAGACTGTAATTGTTTTTACTTGGTTAACTATCAAGAAATTAAATTCTGAACGTTGTCCTGGTTTAAAGAATTCATGAGTGATGCAGTGGAACGGTCCAGTACGGCGTTGTGTGCAGGATCACGAGCCGGTCTTGGGTCAGTCCTGTTCTCGGCTGCAGTCACAATAAAACAGGCTGGTATTAAATTAGGTTGTTTTACAGGATCTAAGATGCATCTGAAGATATTCTCATCCCCGGGGGTTTCCTGTTTTCCATCAACGCCACTCACCTGTCACTCCTTACTGCTCCGTCATGAACTCTGGATTGTTTTTAAACTCACTGACAAAGAGTTTCCTCGTTTTTAATCCCACAGGAGAACATGGACACCCGGTGGACTCAGACACTTTATTTACCATTTCGGCACGAACACGGACTTTAAAATCAGTCGTTTCCAAGTCAAACGAGCATCTCCCGCTCTGCTCTCCAAGAGCTTTTGGCACAAAGTACAAGTGGGTTTAGCCTCAAGTGAGTTTTGCTGACAGGCAGGTTTACAGGTCAGTGAATCTATAAAAGAGCAAAAATATCAATGAAGGAGCAGTTCACACGGCACGCTCTACTACTGAGGGATCACAAATCAATAAAAACCCAAGGTCCGTGGTGTTCAGGCTGTGCTGTGGGCGATGGCGATGCTCAGCGGCGTTGTGCGTTGGCTAACTCGCAGACACCCACAGCTTCAAATCGTCTTTTCGGCAACGGTGCTTTTATTTTTCTTATTGAAATACGTCCTGTTAAAACAGGAAGGACGCTTCCAAGACGTCTGATTACCACTTCTAACCGAGTCCTCCACCTCTGCAGATCCACCGCTTAGCTTCCGCTTACCTGAGCAGAATGTCTGCTTCATTTCTGTGTTGGTCGTCCATCTCTAGAAGTCAGAGAAGTTCAGATATTTACCAAATGATCAAAATCAACACAAGTTCTACAGACGTGTGTGTAGAGATCCCGGAGTTCATCAGAGATGTCTTTGTGTCCATTTATTTAAGGGTTTAGTTTGATCTCCCATGTGGAAAATGTGTATTTTCTTGTTTTAAGTCAGTGTTGATGCTCAGACGCCTTCGCTAGCCAGGTATCCTAGTAAAACAGTTTTATTTACAATATCTCCTCAGCAGTCGATCAGATTCAGGTAATCGTGGCAGCAAGAAGGGTTCTGGAAACCCAAGACTCCAAGCCTTGAGGATTTTCTTTGAATGAGATTTGCAATGGCTTCACTTTTGTGCACGGAAGGAGGACTTTTATCTCTAGTTTTTAGTCTTATTCCCTCAAACATTCAACGCAGAAGATCCTTCAGTCACTGAAGGTGAGAGCAGTGTATCCTTAGGGACAAAAGGTCTAGTGATCTCTTCTGTAGCCCCAAACCCCGCCTTTCTTCTCACTACACGATCCCCTCGCTGCGCTTGCTCCTCCACACCACCAGGGCTGTCATCAGGAGGGTGACCAGGATTGGGACTGCGATGAAAGGACCCAGGATGCGGTTTGGAGGGTCCCTAAGAAGCCGCCCGGACAGCGAGCAGTCATGGAAGTAGTGCCTGTGGACGTCGACGAAGAACTCGTCCACCATTCGGTTGGGCCAGTAGCACCCCACGTTCAACGCCACCAGGTACGTGCAGTTTGTGAGCTCGCCATAGAGCCTGCAGATTAATGACAAAAATAAATTAGGCAAACGGTACTTTGGCTGAAGGAAGAGGATTTGTTTCTGTTGCATGTTTAGATTAAAAAACATTCCTATAGATCATAAACAACATGTCAGAAACGGAGAAGTAAATGTGTCACTGACGCTGGCAAAATAATGAGTCGTTGTTAAATATCAAACATCAGGTTAGCGAGGTGAAAGAACATCATGGCCTGTTCCAACCTTGTTGGATAGGTGGAGTCAGTCACTGGCCTTTTTTAGCTGATCTAACCAGGCTGCTGTGAGAAACACCGACACGCTCTTCAGTACACGTCTGAGCCTTCTTAATGATGCCAACTGTGGCCCAGTTCCAATACTCACACTTCCACCCTTGTGGCCTTCAACTGCACATTCCAGTCCAGGTGTGCAAGGTGGAGAACCAAGGGCCCGGGCGGGATTCGATCCCCAGACTCCCGGGTGAGAAACATGCGTGCTAACCTGTGAGCCAAAGGGCCAAGTAGCCAGGGCGCATGATCAGTCGGGTCACAGTGACAGGACGCTCACACTGCCACACACAGGCCAGAGGTATCCAACTCCAGGCCTGGAGGCCAGTATCCAGCATGTTTTAGTTTTAACTCTGCTTCAACACACCTGGTGATTAACAGGCTTCTGTGGAGCCTGATGAGCTTCTGCACAGGTGATTCAACCACTGAATCTAGTGTGTTGGAGCAGAGAAAGCACTAAAACGTGCTGGACACCGGGCCCTCTGGGACCAGGATTGAAAACCCAGGGTGTAGGGTGTCCTAATCTTTAAGTGCTGAAGTTGGCCACGCCCCTCTTGCTCCGATGATTCACACTTTGCCCAAGTCCGCATCAGTATTACCCACAATCCATTGCTGCATGGGAATTTTGAGATCAAGGAAGAACAATGGCTCAAGTGTCTTACAAGTTCATTTAAAGATGATTACTGAATGTTTTAGACTACGATTTTGATCTGAACAGTGAAAGTGATGTTTGCTTACCTACGAAGCATCAAAGCTGATGTTTACCACACAGCAGCAGCTAGTTCTGAGGCTCTCTTTAACACGTTGCGTATGCATTTAGAGAAACTTTTATATTTTATGCTGGAGGATTTTGTGTTTAATGAGACATTTGGGACTAATCTTTAAATATTAAAGTTTGTAGGTCTTGTTAGCAGAAACTGGCTGGAAGCCTGAAGGGAACTTTAACATGTCCTGTTAGTGACTCCTGCCACATGACGCCATATCGCCGCCCTTTTTTCTCTAGTAGAGAACACGCGCTCTGATCTCCAGCTCAGATTTAATGTTACTGTAATAACTAACAGCTTTTGATGATGCACCTCAGCAATAGCTGCTTGTTTGTGGAAGGTCTGTAGATGTAAACAGCTCAGGGCAGTTTGGCAAGGCATCATAACCGAACAGAGCAGCGTGAGCAGCTTCAGGTGGCGAGTTCACTCGGTCTGGGAGTGTTCTCCTTTCTTCTGCCATTTTTTTCAAGCTTTACACATCAGTAGTGGAGGGTAAAAAGAAAAGAAAACACTGATTCAGCTCCTGCTGGTGGTCTAATGAGCACCGAGGTGGTGTGCGTGTGTGTGTGTGTGTGTGTGTGTGTGTGTGTGGGGGGGGGGGGGATCTGAGTCACGAACCAAGAGAGGACAGAGTGGTCGAGGCAAACAAAGAGAGATGCCCCCTGGTTACTAGTTCACCCCATGAAGCCGAGGTTAGGATCAAATTAATCCCGACAGTGTGGAGCTTCAGCCGGTGTGTGTGCGCACACCGCTCACCGAGGTTGTGTGTGTGTGTCCTACATCATGTCAAGTCTCAACGATAATGAATGTTTCTTCGTGGCACATTTGCATTGTCTCCCATTGCCTCTCCCCGGGCTGCCACCTTACCGTGGTGGAGGGGTTTGAGTGTCTCAGTGATCCTAGGAGCTAAGCTGTCTGAGGCTTTCTGCCTCTGGCAGGGTCGCCCATGGCAAACAGGTCCTAGGTGAGGGATCAGACAAAGAGCAGTGTGAAGACCTCTTATGATGAATTATATAAATGGAAACCGTGTTCCCTCGCCCGGACGTGGGTCAACCCCCCCCCCCCCTGGAGCCAGGCCTGGAGGTGGGGCACGTTGGCGAGCGCCTGGTGGCCGGGCTTTCACCCTTGGAGCCCGGCCGGGCACAGCCCGAAGAGGAAACGTGTGTCCCCCTTCCCATGGGCTCACCACTCGTGGGTGGGACCAAAGGGGTCGGGTGCAGTGTGTGACAGGTGGTAGTCGAGGGCGGAGACCTTGGCGGTCTGATCCTCAGCTACAGAAGCTGGCTCTTAGCACATGGAATGTCACCTCTCTGGTGGGGAAGGAGCCTGAGTTGGTGTGTGAGGTTGAGAGGTTCCAATTAGATATAGTCGGACTCACCTCAACGCATGGCTCTGGCTCTGGAACCAGTTTCCTTGAGAGGGGTTGGACTTTCTACCACTCTGGAGTTGCTCCCACTGAGAGGCGCCGAGCAGGGGTATGCAGGGCATACTAGTTGCCCCCCATCTTGGTGCCTGTACGTTGGGGTTTACCCCAGTGAATGAGAGGGTAGCCTCCCTCCGCCTACGTGTGGGGGGACGGGTTCTGACTGTGGGCTGTGCTCATGCACCAAACTACAGTTCAGACTACCCACCCTTTTTGGAGACCTTGGAGGGGGTGCTGGAAAGCGCTCCTTCCGGTGACTCCTTCGTTCTGCTGGGGGACTTTAACGCTCACGTGGGCAACAACAGTGAGACCTGGAGAGGTGTGGTTGGGAGGAACGCCCCCCCGATCTGAATTCGAGTGGTGTTTTGTTATTGGACTTCTGTGCCAGTCATGGATTGTCCATAATGAACACCATGTTCAGACATAAAAGTGTCCACATGTGCTCTTGGCACCAGGGTACCTTAGACCGCAGCTCGATGATCAACTCTGTTGTTGTTTCATCTGACCTGCGGCTGCATGTCTTGGACACTCGAGTGAAGAGAGGGGTGGAGCTGTCAGCTGACCACTACCTGGTGGTGAGTTGGCTCAGATGGTGGGGGAGGATGCCTGTCAGACAAGGCAGGCCCAAACGTATTGCGAGGGTCTGCTGGGAACGTCTGGCAGAGTCTCCTGTCAGAAGGAGCTTCAATTCCCACCTCCGACAGAACTTCCATAATGTTCCGGGGGAGGCGGGGGACACTGAGTCCGAATGGACCCTGTTCTGTGCCTCCATTGTTGAGGCGGCCGACTGAAGCTGTGGTCGCAGGATCGTCGGTGCCTGTCGTGGTGGCAACCCCCGAACCCGATGCTGGTGGACACCGGCGGTTAGGGATGCTGTCAAGCTGAAGAAAGAGTCCTATCAGGTCTTTTTGGATTGTGGGACTCCAGAGGCAGCTGATGGGTACCGGCAGTCCAAGCGGAACGCGGCTCGGGTGGTCGCCAAGCCAAAAACCCGGGTATGGGAGGAGTTCGGTGAGACCATGAAGCAAGACTTTCATATGGCTTCGAGGAAATTCTGGTCCACCATCTGACACCTCAGGGGGAAAAAGCAGTGTGCTACCAATGGGCCATTCCCATCTGTACCGGGTCGGCCCGGGCCGGATAGCCCCAGTCGGCCCCAGCCTGGCCCGGTTGATTCCACACATCCGACTGGCCCGGTTGATTCCACACATCCTTGTCTTAAGCCCATGTGGGCTGATTCTAGCCACCAATCAGAGGCTTGCTCTAATGGAAGGTGTGAATTTGCTGTCAGCAGTGGGTGTGTCGGGCCTGGTCGGCCTGAAGCAGACCCCCTCGAGAAGAGGGCTGAGAATGAGCCTTGGTTGGCCCGGAAAAATACCAGACCACCCAGATATGTAAACAACCTACGCTACCCGGCCCGAGCCGACCCGGTACAGATGGGAATGGGGCTCAACACTATCTATAGTGGGCAAGGTGTGCTGCTGACCTCTACTCAGGACCTTGTGGATCGGTGGGCAGAATACTTCGAAGACCTCCTCAATCCCACCGACACGTCTTCCAGTGAGGAAGCAGAGTCTGGGGACTTTGGGTTGACCTCTCAAATCTCTGGTGCTGAGGTCACTGAGGTGGATAAAAAGCTCCTCTGTGGCAAGGCTCCGAGGGTGGATGAGATCCGCCCGGAGTTCCTTAAGGCTCTGGATGTCGTGGGGCTGCGTTGGCTGACACGGTTCTGCAATATCGCGTGGACATCAGCAGAGCTGGATTAAATTAATGGAGTACACTAGGCAGGCTGCATTTATTGCCCCCCCCCCCCCCCTCCCCTCCATCGATGCTATTTAATGAATTGAAATCTGAAACTTAGCAAAGTTACTAATAAAAGTTCATTCACATTTTACATAGCCTAGTTTTTGGTTACAAATTGATCGTTTGTATGCCAAAATAAGTCATGTGTTGTATGTTAAACATTCTACCAGACAATTTTTTGATATTAATAATTTATACATCATTACACAGCTGTATTAAATGCTAATAAATTATCCTCATCTTATCCATTGGGAGTGTCAATGTTAAGGCAGTAGTACCAGTAAATAACCACTAGGTGTCATTAAACTATGTAAACAGAGCAAATATGTTCATCTTATTTGCTCTGTTTACATTTAATCAACACATTTAAATAAAAATATTTTCTGCTAAATACAATAGCTGACAACATTTATAAATGTTGACAAATTATTCACATGATGGTGGAAAGACATTCAACAAGAAATAGATGAATTTTAATGAACTGAAGCATGTTTAAAGGCACAAAAACAAACTATAAACACGCAGCTTAAATTATTACAGTATAAATTTTATACAATCTATAATCTTAAAAAAAAGTATTTCAATAAAATGAAAACACTATCTTAAGTTTTGATCTTGCTTTATGCTCATTCAGGCTGTTTTTGCCTCTGCTGAATCAGAAATTCTGTGTCAATTTTCTGAACGTGAACTTGTTGTTCATTACGCTATTTGAACATTAATGAAAATATATTTGTTTTAAATTAAT